CCCCCCCCCCCCCCGGATCCGCCTATGATCCGTATTAATGGTATGGATGCAATTATCCTCTGTTGACAAGGACAAGGCAGCCTGTCAGGGAGTGGAGTGTGTTGTGTTAGTTTAACGGAGCGAGAACAAGACGGAGGAACTATAGAGCGAATTTGAGGAGTTTGACTTACTGTGTGCGTCTGCGATCCCTCTCACGGGCCAATTTGGCGCGCCGCCTCAGGCAACAGATGACGAGGAGGGCGAAGAGCGGGAAACCGATGATGCATGAGACGATCGGGATGACAATCGTCTCCGGCGACACTGAAACACATACAAATACCTGGAATTACAACCGGGATTTTGCACATTTTCTCTAATACACTCATTTAGTGACACTCTCATCCTTGTCATATTCGACGTGCCCATTTACGATTTACTGCAAAAAAGAGTTGCTCAGTGTATGCTTCGTATTCTCCCGTGCTACGGAAAAACGCTATATGAGCCTTGAGTTGTTGCACTGAAAGAAACTCTGGCCGTGGGAGCCGTACTTATGGACTATATAGACATACCGTCCGTTCCGGGCTCAGAGACCGAAATTTCCGAGCTTAGCACCCGGAGCAATCGAAGCTACGGCTCCAGCACCCGGAACTTTTGGTCACTGAGCCCGGAACGGACGGTATGTCTATATAGCCCGTTACTTTTTTTTCTGTGTGCCAAACTTTTTTTTACACAGTGCGGATTTTCAGGGAAATTTGTGAATATTTTTCTTTCGATTTTTAGACAATTTTGTTTGCAATTGTATCTAAAGTATTCGGAAAATTTCAAGGAAAAATATGCAGAACTTTACCCAAAAAAGTATGTTTCTTCCGGATAAGTTTGGTAACTCTCGAATGTTCTTACGGCGTTCTTTTTTAGCACGACTGTATTGTTCATACATGTTTTTCTAATAAAAACGGAGCAAGATGCAAATACTTGAAGCATATGGATTTGGGAGCGTCTCAAGGAGGGAACAAGAGCCGCAAGCAGTGGCGTGGCGTGCTTTGCGATCTATCGATATTTCCCTATTTGAAGCTGTGGTAAATAATCGATTATTAAGGTGTTCCGTGCGAACACCCTGTTTATCGATACTTTTCCATAGGTTTAAATGACCGATCAATCGATACATCGCAAAGCACGCCACGCCACTGGCCGCAGGACGTATTGCAAGCCGAGTGGCAACTCCTAATTTTACAGGTCGTCGGTTTCAGGGCATTCCGTCGACGATCTTTTGTCCCCACACCTGTTTTGTCCAGCAGTTTACGTCCACGCGTGAAATAAGCAACAGTGACTTGATCCAAGTGTCATATTTTAGTCCCTATGTAAAATTATATTGACAATAATGAAATGAGAAAATTGAGAGATACGGAAGAGTTGTCGTGGTAACTCATTTTTTAAATGAAATTTCATTTACTTCTTTAGATCTATCTTTTTAAATTGTCAAGGGTGAATATTTGGTTTTCTTTCCATTCTTAAAGTTTTCGATGAAAAATAAACCTTATAAATACTTTTTTTAAAGAAAATATTACTTTATTTTAAAAACATTTACATTTTTAAAACGTGGCAAATATTTGTAAAACCTTTTCCAAACGATGGCATCGATATTAAAGTCAATGAGTAGTAGTTAAGTTGAAAGAAACTACGCACAGTAAAAACACAAAATATTAAAGAAAAAATTAATGTGGTTTGAAAATCATTAAGTACGACAAGGAAACACCTAAATATTTACAAAACACACATTGAAGTTTCCTTTCATGTATATATTATTTTTATCAATTTAAATTAAAGTAATTCATGCAGAGTGTGCAAACATATAAAAATCATGAGTTGAAAAACGCTGACTCCGCGAGGTTAAATAATAGGCCCTAGCATAAAGCGGAGTGATGCGACAGCTGCCAGCACGAAACGCGCACTGGCGCCTACAAACCTAAGCAGATACTTCACGCATTGCGCAATGCTTGAGGTATCCCTTAGGTTTGTAGGGGCCAATACGCGTTCCGTGCTGGCTGGCTGGCTGGCCGCGCCCACATTGGTTCCAGAGCCCGATTTAGGCGGCATTAATTCGAAAAATTGACTTTTAATAAAAATGAAAAATGGCACCACTGGTCGATACTACATACTCTGGAGAGTATCTCGGCCAAATATCATGATGATTGGATGAGTGATAAGAAAATTATAAGCTCCCAAAGGTAAGCGCGCAGGTCGTCTTTCTGCAGTTCATACCAGTTTCCTCGGTTATCACAGTGAAGTGATTTTTATATGTGAGGTTCGTCGCCATTTTCGGCACAAAAGCACAGTTTTTAAAAAGGAATCCTAAAATTGAAGGTAGGTTTAAGGTTTACCATGTTGAAATCATATCTTTAGATTAAGTCTACAGCTTTAGATAAACCCTTAGACATAACGCTATTTTACGTGATTTTCACGTATTTTTCCACATAAATGGCTGAATTTAACTACTTTGTCACCCTCCGACACCTTTTAAACGG